CCATAGGCCAATCACTTACCCCACAACCTAGAGATGTTGCCATAGGTATCACCTCTCCTTCCTGCCGGTTTAATCCCGCTACACAGCTCTTATTCCAATTAACTTTCAAGTTAGAAACCCTCTCGAAGTGTGTCACTAAGAGCTTCAAATTCTCCATTTCCTCTGGTTCCCTTTCACAAAAAAAGATGATATCATCTGCAAATTGTAAGTGTGTGACTATCACTTGATGTGTCCTAATTCTCCAACCTTTGATTAAATTTCTTGAGTCAGCCCTAGTTATCAACACACTCAAAACATCCGCTACCAGAGTAAAAAAGAAGGGGGGACAAAGGGTCTCCTTGTCTGAGACCTCTTTTAGCATGAAAGAAATCTCTAGCTACACTATTAACCAATATGAAATAGTGGCAAGTAGTTATACAACCTTTAATCCAATTACACCACCTCTCTCTAAAACCTCTTTTTTCAAAACATCCAACAAAAAGTCCCAATCTACCAAGTCGTAGGCTTTTTCTAGGTCAAGTTTACAAATCAAGCCCTTTTCACCTTTTCTTTTCCTATAATCCACACACTCATTAGCAATAAGGATTTGGTCAATGATTTGTCTCCCTGCTACGAAAGCCCCTTGATTCGGTGATATTAAAGATGGGAGTACTTTTTTAATTCTCAAGGCAAGAACTATGGAAATTAACTTATACATGCTCCCAATCAAGCCAATGGGTCTAAAATCCTTAGGATGGCGTGCACCCACCTTCTTAGGGATCAAAGCTAAAAAAGTCTCTTTTGCACCCAAATTAATTTTCCCTCTTTCAAAGAATTCTGAGAATACCTCCATCAAGTCCTCCCTTAAGATGTCCCAACAATCTTGATAAAAGGCTATTGTAAAGCCATCTGGACTTGGGGCTTTTGACCTATCCATAGAGAAAAGGGCCACTTTTATCTCCTGACTCTCAAAAGGTCTCTCCAAGGACTCCATCATTTCTCTATCACCCATCTTCCATTCAAAATCAACTAGAGGCTCTCTCACACTACTAGGACTGTCAAAAATGGATTTAAAATGCTTAACTAGGGCTGTTGCAATATCCTCTTCACTAGTCAGCACTTCTCCATTCCAATCCAGACTTTTTATCGTATTCTTCCTTTTCTTTCCACTTGCCAAGTTCTGAAAACAATCTTGTATTACCATCCCCTTCTTTCAGCCATTTGCATCTTGATTCCTGTCTCCAACTTGTTTCATCTCTTCTAAGGAATCTCTCTAGTTCAACTTTTAACCTCCATCTCTTCTCCCTCTCTGTTGCCCTCATACTTCCACAAGCTTCCACTAGTTCTAAATCTTGAATCCTTTTAATGATAGTCTCCTTTTTTTCTTCAACTCTACCGAATTCTTCTTTATTCCAATCTTTAATCCTAGCTTTCAGCTTTTATAGCTTCTTATAGAATCTATAACCTTTCCAATCCCACCAATCTTTTACTTTCCTTTTAAATTCCAGGTGGAGCAGCCACATATTTTCAAATTTAAATGGGCATGGACCTCTCAATCTTTCTTGTGACAGTCTAATTGGGCAATGATCCTACGTAGTTCTAGGTAGAGCTCTTACAGCCAGCCCTTTCCAAAATTCCTCCCAATCTGAAGAGAGAAGGAATCTATCTAACTTACAGAAGAGGGGCTCTTCTTGAAAGTTAGACCAAGTGAAATTAGCTTGTAGCATTGGCAACTCCCTTAACTTAAAGGAATTCACAAATTGGTTGAACTTCCTCATGCTTGAGGTGATCCTATGGTTGGGGTTGTTTGTTTCAGAGACAAATCTAATCACATTAAAATCACCATCCAAAATCCACGGACCCTCCCACAATCCTCTTATAGCTGCAAGCTTCTGCCAAGGCTCCTCCCTTTCCCTGTACGAATTTGGACCATAAACATTTGTTTGTGCCCATTCCAACCCATCCTGTCTCCTAAATTTTGTTGTAATTGTGGAACTACCAATTAATTCTTTGGAGCAATCCAACTCTTCATTTTTCTAGATTGTCAGAATTCCCCCCGAGGCCCCCTAAGATTGTGCAAAAGTCCAACTTAGTCCTCTAGAAGCCTAGACACTCCTCACCCATCTCTTATCTACTTCGAAAAGCTTTGATTCTTGGAATAGCACAATGTCTGGTCTCTCTTTTCTAAATACTTCCCTGATCACTCTTCTTTTCCTTGAACTCCCCAAACCTATTACATTCCAACTATTTATCTTCATCATGAAATCAAACCTTCAAACAACCCCCTACCTAAGGCTCCCACCTAATCCAATTTTCTTCCCTTCCTTCCGGTGCCACCTTTATCATAGTCCACTCCACACCTGAGCTTCTCCACCTCACTCAGCTTCTTTCTCCTCTTTGGTGTCTTTCCTAAGACCTTCCTTTTACTCTCCTATTGACCTGTGGCTTTCTCTCTTTTCTGACTCTTCTTCTGCCCCTTCCTTTTTGTTTTTTTAGCCGTTGTATCTTTTTGACTCTTTCTTCTCCCCCTTAAGGAATACTGTTTACCAAAGAAAAGAAAAAGAAAGAAAGAAAAAAGAAGAAACAGAAAAATGCTATACAAACATCTTATGTGAAACTATATGTAGTTCATAATAAATTGGGGCACTTTGTGGAACATAGCGTTTTTTATTACTCACACAAGCAGATTTTGTTAAGATTATGAACCTTGACAAGAAAGGAATGGCAGGAATCAAATACACTAGTAGACTACTAACTACTTGGTACATCGTTTTATGCTGACCCAAAAAGCAAACAAGCAAGAAGATGCGATGCTATGCCAAATTCAAGTTATCCCCCGGGCTAGGTATTCCTCACTCTAATTCCTGCCTGCCTGCCTCTTCCACAACAAAATTATACTGGGTTGACATGGATGCAAATTTCAATCATTGAAGAAGTGCCATCAGTCCAGCCCTTAGAAATATACCTGCTCTGATGTAACCTGAATAACTTAACAAATTTGTTCTGTGTGGTCTCTGAAAACATCTTCTATCCTTGATTCCCTTGGGTTTCTGAGGAAACACCCATCAAGTTGAGCTTAGTTCTTCCTTCTTCAGCTGCCATCCACACTATCTGCCGCCTTGGTTGAGCTGTGAATGTTATCTGCTTCCATCCCCAGATCCCCTTAATTTAGAGTCTATTCAGACACCTTTGAACTCGTCTCTTGTGGTAACCGAATGTGCTACTCTAACTGAAATAAGTTAGATAATGTATGAAGCCTCTGCCTCTTGTTTTCAAACATTCTAGCATTTTCTCATCCCATTCATTCCATAGAACCATTGCCCTTGTACACCTCCACAAAATTCTTCCCCTCTTATTCATGTTTTGGAGAAGTTGATTATTAAATAGTTTTATTACATCATGCGGGGGTTTAGAAGAATTGCCAAACATAGGGAAAAAGTGGTTCCATAAAACTGCACTAAAGCGGTAAGAGTGTAAGACAGGAAAAGATGATTAATGTCTTCACTATTCTTTAGGAAAAGGACTCATACATGAGGGGAGATTAACCAGATTTTCTATCTCCTTTGTGGCATCTCACATGTATTAATAATTTTCAAGGCCACTTCCAAACAGAAAATATTAGTTTTAGGAGGTGAACAATCCTACAGGTCCTTAGCCTGAAAAAAAGCAAGGGAAGGAGGTGAACATATTAATTTTTGGTCTAACTAATAACCATATGTTCTTGTTTTGAAAACAAACCATTTTTTGATAAAACTTATATTATGAAGGTGTTATTTGAGGTTTCCAGGTATCACATCATCTTAGCAAAAGCAACAATTAGGTTCTCCGTCAGCCAACACCCCTCCCCCACCAAAAATATGAAAAAGAAGAGAGATTTTTATGGTTCTCTTGATAGAGCACAATGGCTGAAGCTGCGGCATGATTAATGTAGCCACCTCCAAATGGTTGGGATTAAAGCTGTGTTGAGTTCAGTTGCAAGCTATGTTACCTGGATATGGCAAGGGAACAGTTGGTTACAGTATCAGATACAAAATTTACACTAAAAATTGAAGTGTCCAGCATGATATGGCACCACTGCACAGGTATCTGGGTATTATTTTGCAAGTTGGAACTAATAAATTATTAATATCTTGCAGCTTCACAGTTAAACCCCAATTTTAAGAACAACTGAGGAATCCATGGAAGTTTCAACTTTCAAGAGGGTGGCTGAACAATGAGCTTTAGATCTAGATGAGCACATCATTGGTCAGGTTGTCCTTACATATATTTTCCCCACCAACCTTCCTGTACCAAATCCATCTTACAAATGCAAGGAATTGCAATCCAATGTTTGGTTTGGTTGGCTAATCTAGGAGATATCCTAGACCAAAAGTTCCCTGATTAATTAATTGTCTGGTTTATATCATATTCTGCTCATTTACTGATTGAACAAGATTACTAGAATGCAGTAGGTTTTAATATCTGGGGTTTACAAAGATCATTCCTGGTGGAACCTGTTAAATGTTTTAGTTCCAACACCATTGGCATGGCAAACTTGCAGGCATATATGCATGTTTATGTTGCTCTGCTTCAAAATCCTTGAATTTTTTATGTTTCAATAGTAAAACTTTAAAGAGAAAGCATAAGTAATTTACCAAAATAGGATATATTAACACACATACTAATAAGATGCAGCCAGAATGATAATATCACAGTAAGGTATCCACCTAGATTTGTGCCCATAGCATTCAAGCTAGTTGCTCCACCAAGGATGCAAGGATGCCTTATTGCTTAGGTTATGCTTTGACAACTATGGTCATATCTGATTGAAATTGTCTCTTTCATTTTATTGGAGCTTGTAATTGGAGTCGTTCCTCAATAATACTTGATCAGGGGATTCCTCTGATATAATATTCACAATCAAGCTGCACACCAGGATTATTTTGCCTTCATTTATTTCCATGGATAACTCTGTGAAGAAGATTTTGATTTTTCTCATGAATAAAATTTGCTATGGCACTTCTGAAAGTAGCACCATACAGGTGGGTGCAGATAGAAATCTTCTTGTTAAGGATCATACTCATACTTTTGTAAATAAAGGGGGCCAAATTGGAGGTATGATTTTATTCTTAGTGAGTAATCAGATTTTACTGCAGTATATTGCTTTCTTCTAACTTTCCTATGTGTATCTTGGATTTCCTTTGCAGAGCTTGATTTTCGGTTTCCGGTTGGAGCACCAATACATGGAATCCGTGCTTTTTTGGCAACAAATCAGCTTAAGGTAACTCATCCCATATATGCCACTGAATATAGTTATTATTATTGTTATAATTGATTTGATAACAAAAGGTAGTATAATCAATCAAACCACACAAGGTTGAAGCTTACTATATAACTTTTTAAGCAAATATCAAATCTTAAAGTGAATTTTGAGAAAATTTGTATAGTAGGAGTAAATCTGGGGGAGGGGGAGATACTTGAGTGTGCAGACATTTTGGAGTGTGTAGTGTCTATTTGGCCTTTAAACTACCTTGGTCTACCTTTGGGAGATAATCCTCAAAGAGGGTTTTGGAGAGGTTTGAAAAGAGACTTGTCTCTTGGAAGAAAAATTCTCTCTCTCTTGGAGGGAGAATCACCCTAATTAGGTCTGCCTTAGCTAACTTGTTATTTGTTGGGTTTTAAGATTTTGGCAGGGGTGGCTAGTAAGCTGGAAAAACTAATGAGAGACTTCCTTTGGGAGCCAGGGGAGGAGGAGGACCATAGAGTTGGGTGGGAGGTGGTGTGTAGGAGTAACTTGGCATTGGCATTGGGATTTAGGAATATAAGGAAGAGAACTTGGCTCTATTAGGGAAATGGCTATGGAGATTTTCATTAGAAAAAGAAAAGTTGTGGGCTAAGATAATGGATAGTATTCATGGGCTTGCAGAGAAAGGATGGGACTTTGGATTCTAGCTAGGACTACAAGGGCATCACCCCAGAAAGCAACCCAATCCATTTTGCCTCTATTTTCTCCCTAGATCAGGTATGATTTGCACTCATGCAATCTCATTAATTTTTGGGAACATGTTTGGGTTGGGGATTATCCTTTAAAGACCAATTTCCGGCTTTCTTTGCTATCTCTACCTTTAAGAATGAATTGGTATCCACTTTCCTTGTACCCTCTAACTCGACATCTGGGTTCGTTTGAAACTTGGGTTCGAGAAGAGATATCAGAGACACAGAATTGGACAGGAACTTAACCCTATTATCTATCCTTGATGGGGTTTTCTTGGAGCCAATAAAGATAGATGGTAGAATTTGGACCCTCTCTCCTTCGGGTTCCTTTACTTGTGCTTCTTTCTTTAAAGCCCTAACATAAACGACTGTTCTTCTTGGTTTGTCTTTCCTTGTCAAAGAGGTGTGGTGTCAACCTGTTAGTTCGAAGGTCGGAAGTTTCTATTGGGAAGCCTTTCTGGGAAGAGTTTACATGAGATTTTCTTCAAAGAAAAAGGCCCAAAAGACAATTGTCTGCTCATTGGTGTGTCCTTTGTAAAGCTGCTGGTGAGTCCGGTTATCACTTGCTAATTTCCTGTCAATTTGCAAACTCTTTTGGGAATGGTTTACTTCTTTGTTTGGGTGCAAGTGGACTTTCCCGACGAATGTGCAAACTTGTTTACTTCCCCGCCCTCCAAGTGGCCAACAAAAAGGGCAAGAATTATGTGGAGATGTGTTAAGGCTGTTGCATGTTGGACTATTTGGGAAGAAAGAAATTCAAGGATTTTCTCAGAAAAGGGGAGAAGCTTGGAAGCAGTGTTAGAGGTGACTCATATAAGGGTAATACATTGGTTGAAAACTTTGGATCTGTTTGCAGAATTCTTAGTGGATGATTTGCTAAAGAAAATGGAAGGAAATCGCAAATTTAGCTTCAGTCAGGAAGGTCTCAAGTTCCTACTGGAACCCTCCACCTCTCAGTTTTATCAAACTGAATGTTGATGGCAGCAACAAGAGCAATCTAGGGCCCTCAGGTATAGGGGGTGTTATTAAGGGATGAAAAAGGGAATGCGATAGCCATGTTCTCTGGCCCAATTGGAGTGGGAGATTCTTTGAGGGATGAGATATTAGCAGCTCTGGAAGGGGTACAAAGGTTTAAAGATTTGAATGCCAATAAACTGATCATAGAAGGAGACTTTGATCGTTGATGTGTTTAGTAGGATTTTGTTGGAAGGGGATAGGGCTGGATCAATAAGAGGTTGAAGAATAGGAAGAAATCAAATCCCTGTAAACCACCTTTAGTTTGCAGATGACATTATAATTTTTTGTGAAGGATCTGAAGTGGTGAGAGTGCAGAATTTGAAGAACCTAATTTCTTTCTTTGAGAGTGCTTCCAACTTAAAAGATCAATCTTGAAAAGAGCTGTGTGGTGGGGCTAAACTTAGATCAGAGGGAGCTGGAGTGTGTTTCTGTATGCTTAGAGTGTTCCATTTCTGAGTGGCCCTTGACCTACTTAGGACTTCCCCTAGGCGTTAACCCAAAGGAGAGTCATTTTTGGGACCCTATGGTGGAAAAGTTTGAAAAAAGGCAACTGGCTTGGGAAAAGAATTATATCTAATTGGGGGGAAGAGTCGCCTTAATTAGAGCTACTCTCGCTGAAGGGATGAGAAATCCATCGTATGGACGCCCAAATCTTGCGGAATAGAATGGGCGAATTTCAAAAATTTTTGTCCATCCTACTGGGAATCGAATTCCCTATTTTAGAAAAATCATATTTTTCAAGGATCAATCTTGAACCAAGAACCGAACCAGATCTGAACAAAAGTAGTAGGAGAGGGATATACCTGATACGGAGAAATAATATCTCCCAATGGAGGTGTTCACGCCCAAGGAAGGAACCAAAAAATTGCTCCCACTGAAGATGGCGCAGTGTAGGATGGAGCAGAGTCAGTAGTGTTCTTCCCAAGAACCTGATCCTTCGCAAGAATCAACAGGACGACACGTGAGCATAGCTTCCTATCAGTCCCTTCACAAGAAACTGATATCAAGATCCAATCTTGATTTCTCCCACCTAACTAGAGATCGAACTGGCAGGTGAGGCGGTGGCAGGAAGGAGGCGGCAAGAAAGAATTTCGCAGGGTTGCTGAATTCTTCCTTCTGTGATTTCAGCTTTGAAGAGGATGTGAATGTATATCTACTAAAGGCTGCCGCCCCCTCCTCCTTTTATAACTTTAAAGGGATCAGCTCCTAATCCCATTAGGAGTTGCTGATCCAAATCATATTTGGATCAGAATTCCCTTTAAGTGATAAGGGTAAACCCTTATCTTATCTGCAGATTAGATCAGCCTTCTCCTAATCTCATTAGGAGGTTTCCACATCTGAATCACA